AAAAAAAAAAAAGTTATTTTTCATCCAGTTTCCTTGTAACTCTATTAATAGATTTGTAACTTCAGACTTCCGTGTGTTCTGTTCGGTATAACAGAAAAATATTTCAAATGGCATTTGTTATATATTTTGCATTTTGTTATATATTTTAGCTATAGCTCTAATAGATTAGATGAAAGGTTGATATTCACATAAAAAAAATATATACTCCTTTCTATTTTTATTATTTGTCGTTTTGAGAAAACAACACGCTAATTAAAAACTTTTTTTCTTGTCAATATTAACCCTATTTAATAAAATGACACGCTAATTAAGAACTTTTTTTCTTGTCAATATTAACCCTATTTAAAGGATGTTTTGGGAAACAATGGAGATGGGATATGAAGAGACACGTGAATTAAATAGAGGGTTAAAAATATAAAAAATATGAACAAAATAGCCAAACGATATTTATTTAATCAATTATCAATTAAGCTAAGATGACAAATAATAAAAATAGGAGGGAGTATCATTTATGGATGCAACGATATAGTATTTTGTTCAAGACATAATCCAAACATTTTTCAAATAATATGTAGTAAGAAGAGACAACTCTTCATACTACACAAAATCTTAATTTCAGACAATCTTATCGTTAGGCGGGACAGAATTGTCGTACTTTTTAATTAAAATATATGTATATATTTATCACTACAAGAAAATAATAAAGTTCCAATGAAAATATATTACAACAAAATTTCGAGGACAAACAAAAAATCTTATTTGAGACAACTTAATTATTAGGTGGGATGTACATTTCGTGCTTCTATAAACAATACTGCATACTTATCATTACAAGAAAATGATAAAATTTTAATGAAAATATATCACAACAAAACTTCAATGATAATTTCGATGAATATTTCAATGTTATATTTGTTTGAATTTTCCTACGGATAATATATTCCTTAGGAATTAGTGTTTCATTGGATTTTGAAGATTTCAATTCCAGCTGTATAATGTGGTCTGAGTAAAAAAATTCAAACGAAAATTTACACATAAATCGTTGAATAAATAGTAGTTGTGTTTCTCAAATTCCAACGAATATTCAAAGAGAAATTTAATCACAGTCGAATATATAAGTGTTATTAGTAGCTTTATTGGAATTCTCATTTGAAATATTCCAACGGAAACTATCGTTGAAATTGTCATCGAAATAGCTTCATGTTGGAATATGATAATTTTTTGTAGTGTATACACTATGCTTTTGATGTTATTTTTCTAGAGTATTTATATATTTGTTGAAAGATATGACTCTCCATTCTAGAAGATAAAAATAAAAATAAAAAACGTAGTGGCAAACATTGACATCTAAGAGCAGTTGGCACCTCTTTTATGGGATCTTTGTATTAATGTCATTTATTTATAAGTAAGATGAGCAAAGCAAATGGCGCATGTGACTTGTGTAGTGAACCCTAAACTAAGTGAAGCTGATTAATAGTTAATGAAATTCAACGGAACTCTTTGGCACGTGATTTTGGTTGTTAAGATGAAGCAGTTATAATATGGGGAAATCCTAAGGTCCCGTTACGGAATAATTTCGTCGGGATTTATAACCGTTAGATCATCATGTAACTTTCAGAGATAGTTGATTTAACAGTTACAAACCCCGACGTCGGATTAGTTTCATAACGTGACCGTAACATCGTCCATAATAAGTGCACTACATGTGTTTCCATAACTATTTTCATATCCATTTAAGGAAAATTAATGGTTGATTATAATGTTTTCCAAGATCTAAGTAAGCTGTGATGGCCGATTATATTAGTTGACATCAAATAGATAGTTATTTTAGCTAGCATGAGTAGGGGGGGAATTATAATGATCGAATGAATAAAAGTAGGGATTTTTTTTTTTTTTTTTTTTGACCTAATAGACTATCGTCATTTTTTAAGGTTTGTCATAAGACCTTTTTTTCTTGACAAATTGCTTCCCAAAGTACTCGAAATGATAGTTAACCACTTCTGCTAAATCCTGTTAAAAAACCCTGAAATCACCCCTGAAATCACATACGAAAGTTTTTAACCTAATTAATGATCGATTCTGAGTCGATCTATAAAATTGATTTAGGGTTTCGAAGCCACGACGAGGCAACCAAAATGCGGTATAACTTATCGATTTTTTAAAATTGATTTTTCACTAATCGTTTGATGGAGAATTCGGTGCACGTATGCACAGATAAAACTTCGATTTAAATTTTTTGAAAATCAAGATTATTAACTATCGATCGAAATGTGTCATTTCAAAGCTTGTAGAACATGTTTTTTTAATGAGGTAAATATTATGAAAATCCAAAGGTGGGATTTCAGTTAGTAGCTTCAAAAAACTTTAATATTTGGCACTTTGTGTTTGACCACCGATCAAAATCCTAGCATTGGATTTTTATAAGTTCTACCTCTTTAGAGACATCATCTTGCAATTTTTCTAATGACATGTCCAGATCGATAATAGGATATTTTGATTATTAAAAAACTTAAAAACCAAAGTTTTTTTCACACGCGCGACTACATTTCTCCGTCGATCAATTACCGATGAATCAATTTTCAAACATCAACAAACCATACTTCGTTTCTTCATCTCGTCATGGGATTCAAAAGTCCAAAATCAGTTTTAAAGATCATTCAATATTCATCTTCAATTGAGTTCAAAACTTTATAATTTGTGTCATGTTTGAAATTTTAATAGAGGAGCAAATGCCAGTTTCGTGCGTGTACTTTGATGGACAACTTGTTAAGAATTGTTTTTTATGACGAAATTAAAAAATCGGACATACTTTGAGAGGTAAATAATTAATTGCAGGTAACACATTCATTATAAAATGAATAATATGATCCAATTAGTGTTCCACTTAACGTATTTGTCCAGTTAGTGTTGACCAGTCAACGGGCCAAGGCCCGGCCCGGCCCGACCTGCCGGGCCATGGGCCCTCCAACACATGGCCCGCGATCGGCCCGTTAAAAACCAGGGGTCGGTTCTGTGAACCGGACCGAACCGCCGGTTCATCGACCCGGTGGTTCACGGGCCGAGACGGCCCTAAAAAAACAAAAAAATTTTTAACATGTGGTCCGCCGTTCGACCCGGCCCAGCCCGGACCAAAATACAAAAAAAGGAACCGGGACCGAACCGCGACCCTACGGGTCCGGTTCAACGAACCAGCCCTTAGGGTTCCCGGTTCGGGCCGGTTAGTGCCGGGCCGGTGCCGGTTCATAGGTTGGTTCACGGGCCGGTTCGGCCCGTAGACATATCTATGTCCAGTGAATCGCACGAGCTAGATCACAAGCTACATGATATTAATTGATGACTATAATTACCAAACATGTGTAGCTAAACGAAGGATCTCAAGTTGGACTTTTAATTCAAATCCCGAGTAGAAGCAAGAGTTCGATTTCCAACCATGAAAAACCTACTCTAATGGCGCAGGACAAGGGTGATAATTTATTAATCAGTTGGGATTTGAGCCTCAAATATAGTAACAATAATAATACTAGTAGTATTATTTATTAAAAAATACAATCAAGGATTGGGCTCTAATCCCTATAGTTTTGACCATGCATGTTTTATATAATACATTGCCTTGGTCAAATTTTTTCTAGTACGCATTTAGTCTAATTTCTACAGTCTCATTATGACCATTTCGTCGGGATTTATAACTGGTAGATCAACTATCCACGACGGTTACATGATGATCTAACGGTTACAAATTCTGACGAAATGATTCCGTAACGAGACTGTAGCATTTTCCATTATTAATGTGCGACTGTGTCAATTTTTGTAATTCTACACTCCAATGGAGTACTCTAATTGTACATTTAAATTAGTATTCAGTTATTTGTACAAAATCAGAAAATATTAAACCATTGAATATAAAATTAAAATTTCCGTTGAACACGTAATTACGTTGAATGCTGCATGCATATGATAATGTGCCTAGAAAATTTGGCATTTAATATAATTTATGATATCACTTTAATTTTATAAGCTCACTTTGATACCAAATTTTAAAAGAAAAATTAGCATATGGTAGCACTTATTATTATATTTATTATTATTATTATTTTAATTTTTTTTTCCTTGATCTAACTTTGATGTATTGTTAAAAAAGCTACTGTATTTCATTTCATAACAAAGTGAAGAATATCAAAATGGGGGTAAGGATAATAAAATAATTTATTTAGTAAAATTTCCATAAAATCTCATGTACTTGGGAGAAAAGAAAACATTTATTAAAATAATTAATTTATCACTAGAAAAAATATAAAAATAATATTAAAAGAACAAAGACAGCATTCATCCGGGTCACGTGACGGGCCTCGAATAGTCAACCCCAGGCCCATAAACAACGGGTCCGCCGTGTTGATGCTTGGGCCTTCACCTCGCGCTCCCTTTAAGTAATCACTTGCTATTAACTACACCTTACATATTTTTTAATTTATACAACAATACTGAAATTGGAAAAAGTCAAATGCGTGTATTTATTTTGAATTTATCGTCAATTTTTAAAAAATATAATATATTAATTACATATTATGTAAGTATTACTACATGACAATAATTTGATGGGGGCCATGAGACAATAATCCTATAATGACCTGGACTGATCTGTTTTGCTTGGACAGCTAAGTCTATTGTGTTTGAAAACAATGATACGTAATTATCAAATAACTATAGAAATTAATGATACAGTTCCGTTACAGAACAATTCCGTCGAATTTGTAACCGTTAGATCATCATTTAACTAGTTGATCTAACGGTTACAAACCCTGGCAGAATGGTTTTGTAACGGGACCGTAGCATCTCCCAAAATTATATTATATATTTAACAACTTTGTAATTAGATTA